GCTGGACTCCCATTGTGCTATCTCTGAAAGCGATGCTTAGATTCAGGAGGAAATCATTGGATTTCAAGGGCAAGTATTGAGAAAGGATTTATTTGAATCACAGTTACTAGATATGTGTTCATTATCCAAGCACTGGCCAAAGCTAAAGAGGTCAAGGCAAGAATGAGGATTATGTTTATCTCCACTTACATTCTTCCCGGCCTAATTACCCCCAACATCTTGAAAAGAAAATCAAGAAAAAATGTTTCTGTTTCACTCTTTCTCAACAGCACATCCCCACCCATCATTCGATCTACCTGAGAACAGACAGCATTCTGTAGAGGCTCCAAAAGAGACTTTGGAATATCAACCATTTTCTAGATGAGAGAATCTGAGATGATAGAAAATATGTATATTGGCATCTGTCCCTGGTTCCTGGTGCAGAGCTCCTAAAACCCTTGTAATTTCCTAAGAGTACTAGAAGCAACTTTTATTCTAATGAAGTGACTCTGGTTGGGCCCCTGGATGGCTCCTGGCTGGGGGCTGGTCACTAGAAAGACCAAGCCATGATTAGAAGCTTGCTATTTTCAGCCCTGTCCCCTGTCCTTCAGAGAGGGAGAGAGGCTGGAAATGGAGTTGATAATTGATTATGCCTCCATGAGGAAGCCTCCATCAAATCTCAACAGTATGGGCTTCAGAGAGCTGCCAGATTTCTGAACACATCCACACCTGAGGATGACACTCCCCAACTCCACAAGGACAGAGCCTCCTGCACTCAGGACCCTCCCAGACTTCCCCCTACATATCTCTTCATGTGGCTACTCATCTGTATCCTTTATCACATGTTTAATAAACTGCTAAACGTAAGTAAGTGTTTCCCTGAGTTTTGGGAGCCACTGTAGCAAATTCATTAAACTCAAGGAGGGGATCTTGGGAACCTCGGGTTTGCAGCCAAGTCGGGCAGAAGTTGTGGGTGACCTGGGTGCCTGCTGCTTGTGATTGGCATCTGGAGTGGGGTGGGAGCAGTTCTGTGGGCCTGAGACCTTAACCTGTGGGATCCACACTATCTCTGGGTGGGTAGTGTGAGAATTGGGTTAAGTTGTAGGACACCCAGCTGGTGTGGCAGAGAATTGCTTGGTGGGGGGAAACAGCCACACATTTGGTGACTAGAGTAAAGAGTGGCTGCAGTGTGAGAAGAAAGGAGCCACCCAGGGGGCACCACTAGAGTTGTTTTCTTACACAGGGCACAATAGCTGTTCTCTTGGAGAACTTTCCTAATGTTTTCTGGTATCACTCAGTCCCTCGTGAAGAAAGCACTTCACTGAAGGGCCATGAATGTTTTCCATGGCAGGGCAGAGCAGAGCTTAACCTAAAAGTCAGTCCCCATGGCATACAAATGCTCCTTTCCCTGATGGAATGAGGAGCAAGAAGGTTGTGTTTAGACTTACTGTCCCTGTGCAGTCCCCCCCGCTCATCCTTGCTCACTGCCACAAACGTTTTGTCCCCACTGCACTCCAGCTCTGCAGCACGACGCTGATGGAATAAGCTGCAACTCCAGAGCTGGCTGCTTTGCATTCCTCATAAACCAAAGGACTCAAACACCAAATTTAAACCCCCAAAATAGTAACATCAGTTTGACACTGCAAATCGTGTTGGACTTTTTCCTGGTCTCTTCTTTTCTTTTAGAAAGTCATGACAACCCATCTGGACTGATAATGAGGCCATGCGTCCTTGTGGTTAGATGTCTAACAGGTGAGTCCCTCACAGTCCTGGGCTCAAATTCCAACTCTGCTACTTCTAGTGTGTGATCTTGGGGAAATTGCCTATCCTCAGTCAATCTCAAGTCCCGCATCTGTAAAAGGGGGATGTGAACAAATGGCAGCAGTTTCAGTATTTAAATAAGATCACACATGCTAAACTATTGTCATGGCACCTAGAATGTCAAAACTGCTTAATAAATCATAGTTACTGGTATATTATTATTAGTTTATCATCAGCATGACGAACAGCCAGAGAACGGCATCTTCTAGAAAGAAATGCCATAAGGAAGTATAGAGGGTGGATCTGTATCCCAGGGTCCCAACAGGAAACAGATGACACACTCAAAACAGGTGTTCAAAGAGAGCTCAATGAAGGACCTGTTTACCAGGGTGTGGACAGGGGTAGTAACCAAAGGGGAAGAGCAGAGCATTCCTGGCCTAGTAGCAGAAGCCACTGCCACCTGTGGCCTGAAGGGACCAGAGGAGAAAGTGTCCCAGCTCTAAGAGAGGACCACCCAGCAGGAACTTTGGCTTGACAGAGACAGGCAGCCACTGTCAACCCAGAGCTGGTCACCGAGGGCGCGGGGGGCTCAATCAACAGACCTTCTTCTCCTTCCACTCCCCAGTCTCCTGACAGAGTCCATTGGCCAAACCCCACCAGAAGCCAGAGGGCAAGGGCTTAGCTTGCCAAAGCAGACAGCAGGTAGAGAAGGTGGAGTGTGCATCCTCAGGGACAAATGGGGCATGTGAACAGAGGTGGTGGGACTCTCCTTGACAGATGCAAGGGACCCTCCTTTACTGAACCATGAGGAGAGCAAGATGTCTGAGTAGAGATGGAGATGTTTATGGGTGGCGGGTGGAGAGAGCTAAGGGAGTTCTAGCATGAGGGTAATGATTTTTATTTCCTCAGTAAAGTTCATGGAGACCACTAATTATGAGGCTGAAGACATTATAGCAGGGATTTTGAGAAATGAGGGGAAAGTTGGGGATCATCTTGGGATAGCTGTGAAGAACTTATATAAAAGATCTTCAGGCAATGTTTAGGGTCTTAATGATGTTAGAGATTACTAACCCAAATTTCCATGGAGTTTTTAATGTTCAGTGGGCTGGGGACATAAGTAGAGATGTTGAATGATGGGCTAGATGGGGAAATGCTTAAGCAGAAAGAAGCTGATGGATTGGCGGGAAGGGGAAAAGTGAAGAACTTTGAGATTTTCATGAAGTAAAAGTAGCAGTCAGGAGAAAGAATGTGAGATAGACAACAGGATAATGTGATCAAGGTATGAAAGAGTAGAATATAGGAGTAAAAGGTAAATATCTTCTAGATCAGGCAAGAACTAGGGTGGTCATCAGAGCAGCTGGCTAAGGGAGAGGTGGAGGTGAAGGTCATCAAAGTTAAAGAAGTTGTATCAGCTAAGATAGCAGCCCCAAACTGCACCAAGTGCTGAGATGCCACAGCAAATTCACAGGGTGCCATGCTCAAGGCAAGCACAGAGATGCCGGACGTCTTTCAGACACCATGTGAACTATTAGCTTAAAATAGTTCACAGTTCCAACATCAGATCACACTACTTACATTCAGCGACATCATATCTCTGCAAGGGTGAGTTCGCCACAATTGTAGAGACAGAAAGCAAAACCACTCAAAGACCAATGTGAACAGGAAATGAGGGCACCATCTGATTCCAGTATCCAATCTGATTCCAAGGTCTGAGATGTTACGCATCACCCAACACACACTGCATTAGGAAGTAGTTGTGTTATTTAAGAATAAAACTAAAATAGTATTTTTTCTTTCAATTTATGTGTAGTATTTTTTTCAAGTGGCTAAGTTGTTCAAGAATGACTACATATTAGTTTGTTTAGACCTAACTATTCAATGAGTGGGATTGTTAGGTATTTCTTTTGGACTCAATGCACCATAAAAAAATGTATTAAGATGCTAAGGGTGTCCTGGGCGCCTGGGTGGCTCAGTTGGTTAAGCGACTGCCTTCAGCTCAGGTCATGATCCTGGAGTCCCGGGATCGAGTCCCACATCAGGCTCCCTGCTCAGCAGGGGGTCTGCTTCTCCCTCTGACCCTCTTCCCTCTCTTGCTATCTGTCTCTCATTCTCTCTCTCTCAAATAAATAAATAAAATCTTAAAAAAAAAAAAAGATGCTAAGGGTGTCCTGACTTGGGCAAGTTTGAGAACCTCAGAGGTAACATGTTTTCTGCTACATTCAAAAGAAAATCTTGTCCTTTTCAACAAATGGTGCTGGGAAAACTGGATATCAACATGCAAAAGAATGAAGTTGGACCTGTACCTTACACAATATGCAAAAATTAACTCCAAATGGATTAAAGACCTAAAGGTAAAAACTAAAACCATAAAACCTTTAGAAGAAAACAGAGGAAAACTTCATTTGGACATTGGATTTGGCGATGATTTCTTGTATATGACTCCAAAAGCAAATACAACAAAAGAAAAATAAGATAAATTGAATTTGTTCAAAATTTAAAACTTTTGCACCTTAAAGGACACTAACATGAGAGTGAAAAGGAGACCCATAGAAAGGGAGAAAATATTTGCAAATACATCTGATAAAGGATTAATATCTAGAATACATATAGAACTCCTAAAACTCAAAACAACAAAAACAAACACCCCAATTCAAAAATGAACAAAGGACTTGTTAGACATTTCTCCAAAGAAGATATGCAAATGGCCAATAAGCACATGAAAAGATGCTCAACATCACTAATCATTCAGACAGTATAAATCAAAACCATAAGACACTACTTCATGCCCAATAGGATGGCAACTATCAAAAAAAACATAAATAGAGATGCTTAGGCGGCTCAGTTGGTTAAGCGTCTGCCTTTGGCTCAGGTCATGATCCCAGGGTCCTGGGATTGAGCCCCACATTGGGCTCCCTGCCAAGCAGGGAGTCTGCTTCTCCCTCTCCCTCTGCCTGCCACTCCCCCTGCTTATGCATTCTCTGTCTCTGTCAAATAAATAAATAAAATCTTAAAAAAAAAAAAACATAAATAGGGAGGCCTGGGTGGTTCAGTCGGTTAAGCGTCTGCTTTCAGCTCAGGTCATGATCTCAGGGTCCTGGGATTGAGTCCCGCATTGGGCTCCTTGCTCAGCAGGAAGCCTGCTTCTCCCTCTGCCTGCCGTTCCCCCTGCTTGTGCTCTCTCTCTCTCTCTGACAAATAAATAAAATCTTTTTAAAAACATAAATAATTAGGCCTCCTGCTCCTCCCACCGCCATCCTGAGTCACTGCCTGCACAGCTCCGACCGCCTGGCTCCCCGTGCTAGCCACCGATATTTGGAGTTCTTACAACATGGCAGACGTTGACAACAAAGAACAGTCTGAACTTGATCAAGATTTGGAAGATGTTGAAGAAGTAGAAGAAGAAGAAACTGGTGAAGAAACAAAAATCAAAGCGCGTCAGCTGACTGTTCAGATGATGCAAAATCCTCAGATTTTTGCAGCCCTTCAAGAAAGACTTGATGGTCTGGTAGAAACACCAACAGGATACACTGAAAGCTTGCCTAGGGTAGTTAAAAGATGAGTGAATGCTCTCAAAAATCTTCAAGTTAAATGTGCACAGATAGAAGCCAAATTCTATGAGGAAGTTCATGGTCTGAAAATATGCTGTTCTCTATCAGCCTCTATTTGATAAGCGATTTGAGATCATTAATGCAATTTATGAACCTACGGAAGAAGAATGTGAATGGAAACCAGATGAGGAGGATGAAATTTTGGAGGAGCTGAAAGAAAAAGCCAAGATTGAAGATGAAAAAAAGGATGAAGAAAAAGAAGACCCCAAGGGAATTCCTGAATTCTGGTTGACTGTTTTAAGAACGTTGACTTGCTCATTGATATGGTTAAGGAACATGATGAACCTATTTTGAAGCACTTGAAAGATATTAAAGTGAAGTTCTCAGATGCTGGCCAGCCCATGAGTTTTGTCTTAGAATTTCACTTTGAACCCAATGAATATTTCACAAATGAAGTGTTGACAAAGACATATGGGATGAGGTCAGAACCAGATGATTCTGATCCCTTTTCTTTCGATGGGCCAGAAATTATGGGTTGTACAGGGTGCCAGGTAGATTGGAAAAAAGGAAAGAATGTCACTTTGAAAACCATTAAGAAGAAGCAGAAACACAAGGGATGTGGGACAGTTTGTACTGTGACCAAAACAGTTTCCAGTGACTCTTTCTTTAATTTTTTTGCCTCTCCTGAAGTTCCTGAGAGTGGAGATCTGGATGATGCTGCTGAAGCTATCCTTGCTGCAGACTTTGAAATTGGTCACTTCTTACGTGAGCGTATAATCCCAAGATCAGTGTTATACTTTACTGGAGAAACTATCGAAGATGATGATGATGATTATGATGAAGAAGGTGAAGAAGCAGATGAGGAAGGGGAAGAAGAAAGAGATGAGGAAAATGATCCAGACTATGACTCAAAGAAGGATCAAAACCCAGCAGAGTGCAAGCAGCAGTGAAGCAGGATGGTTTACCTTCTGCTCCCCTGGAAAAGATGACTTTACATCATTTGACAAGCCTATTTCAAGTTTCTTTGTCGTTATTGTTTGTTTGCTTTTTTTTTGTTTTTGCAGCCTCAAATAAAAATGTCAAATATAATTTTAAAAAAATAATTATTGGCAAGGATATAGAGAAATTGGAACCTTTGGGCATTGCTGCGAGGAAAGTAAAATGGTACAAGCACCTAGAAAAAATTATTGTAGCTCCTCAAAAAAGTAAACATAATATCATGTATATAATCCACGAATTACACTTCTAGGTATACCCAAAAGTAGTGAAAGCAGAACTTGAATAGGTATTTGTACATCAGTGTTCATAGCAACATCTCGTAATAGCCAAAAGAATGAAACAACCCAAACGTCCATGGCTGGATGAATGGATAAACAAAATGCAGTGTATATACACACAGTGGAATGTTACACAGCCTGTAAAAGGAATGAAGTTCTAATACATGCTACAACATGAATAAAACTTGAAAACATTATGTGAAATGACATAAACCAGACACAAAAGAATATTGAATGATTTCACTTATATGCAGTACCTATGCAGTGAAACTCACAGAGACAGAAAGTAAAGCAGTGGTCACCAGGGGCTGGGGGGGGCAGGAGGGCGGAGTTTAATGGGTACAGAGTTTCAGTTTGAGATGTCTAAGAAGTTATAGAAATGGGTAGTGGTGATGGTTGCCCAACAATGTGAATTATACACTCAAGAAAGGTTCAAATGGCATGTTTTATATATGTTTCCCACAATTTTAGTTTAAAAACTTAAAAAAAAAAATCATAGGATACGCTATTTGACAACCATAACAGTAATAAATGATTTAGGCATCAATGGATGCTAATACTGGTGGGTGAAAATATGACGGAGAACAGGAAACTTAGAGTATCAAGGTACCTCCCTTCTATTAATTGTAGAAGGAAAACAGTGACTTTTAGAGTGGAGAAACCAGGCACCTTAACCAAGTGATCAAGTTCACTTCACCAGTATTAGAGGTAGTGGACCCTCTGGGCCTCCTGACAGCTTCACCAGGAAGAACACAACAGCACTTCATTTCAGCAGTGCTCCTGCCAAAAATGCGTAGCCTAAATCTAATGATGAGGAAATATCATGGTAAAAGATACCACAATGAAGAAGGAAATTTCCAGTTCAACTGGCTTACAACAAGGAAGATTTTTTTCTTTCACCAGGAGGCAGAATGGCCCCAGGCTTAGCTAATCTAGCATTTCAGATTTGTTTTTGTCTCTTGACATTTTTCACTCTGCCATCATTAGCCTAGTTTAGCTCCCCTGTGGTTGCAAGAATGGCCGTGGCTCCCATGTTATGTTCCAGACGTAGCAATGGGCAACAGAGACAAGAAGCTATCTCTTCTCATACTTCTCACTTTTAATCAGCGAGGAGAAGATTTCTTAGAAGACCCCACTATAGTTACCCTCCTGGGTCTTTGACCCAAACTGGGTCACATGTGAACCCCAAACACATCTCTGGCAAGGGGAAAGGACTGGACTATTCAGCAACTCTGTGGGTGTCTTGTGGGGAAGTGTGGCCACTCAAACCAAAGTGGGGCTCTTCGGCAAGGAAGAAACAGGAATGGCTGTTTCAGGGTGAATGGTGGACCTCCAGGGTCAAGGCCAGCTGCAACTTAGAATATTAGATGATTCATTAATCAGGTAGGGGACCAAGAGTCACCATGGGGGAAGGTTAGGGGAGAGGAAATTGTAAATTACATCTGGAGGTCGGTAGACAGCAGTAGCAAAGACACATGAATGATGCTGTAAGCAGAAGATATAGATCTGAAAAGCGGCTCTTTTTGTTGGTTAAAATGGGCAACTAAGGGTATTGAAGTGGTAGCAGGCATGCAATGTGAAGTGCATGAAGAATCCTGTAACCCACCTTTTTCGTAAAAACTAACATCTTTAGTGTTAGTGAGTAGGAATGGGAAATGAGAGAATACATGCTCAAATAATGGGACTTGGGTAAATGAGGAAAAATAAAGTTTTTCCAGGAGAAAATGGATGGACTATGTCTTTTATGTAATTATCTTTTTAGTGCTTTAAAAACAAAAACATTCTCTGGATTCACAATGTCCCTGTCTAGCCTAGTATAGTGCTTTATCGCCCTGAGTCTCAAGAAACCTAATCAATACCATGCTTGCCTAAATGTAAGGCCAATTAGTCTTTTTCAGTCTTAAACACACATGAAATACAACTGTTCATTTCCCAAAGTTGCTCCACACAGATTTCACAAAATCTATTTAATTGTTATCACGGAACACTTAAAAGATACCTCATTGTAGCATCTCAGGCTGGCAGTGCCAATCAATAAAAATGAACAATTCCTAGATTCAATTTGCAGAAAACTCAATACAATACATTTTACAGGGGGGTTTCTTTGTTGTGTCTACATTCTAGGCTTGGTGTTGTCCCGAACGCTGATCTTTAGGGGATCAAATTCTTTCCATTTGTCAATAGAGAAAAACATTTTTGAACAGGTCTAATTTCCTAGCTAGTAGAACTTGTTGCTTGGGATTTAAATACATTGATGCATTTTTATAAATAAATTAAACCACCTTTTTATATGAAGTCAAACGATGTTACCACAAGAAAATGTTTTAATCTTTTCATACACTTTGCTCATGTATTCAGTGATTATGTATAACACGGCAAGTATGCTGGAAGGAAACAAGGACACAACAGTTAATGATGCAAACCATTGCTGACAATAATATATGACATGTATCCAGTGTCCAAGGGAGGTACATCTTGTTTTTTTGTTTAGTTTTGTTTTCTGTTTGTTTGTTCTTCTCAAAGAGGTCATGTGAGTTACCCAAACTATTGTAGCTAAGAAGTGGAAGAGGTAACATTCAAACCCAGTTTGGATGTCTCTAGAACCCAAGTCTTAACCACAATGCTATAATGCTTCTGGCAGATAATATGTGCTAAGAAACTACAAATGTGACAAATGAAATAGAAAGGAAATCTATGGCAGCCAACATTGCGGTGTCAGAGAAGACCAAAGTGGGTATGACGTTTTAGCTGAACAAGAGTTAGCCAAGGAAAGCAAGAGGAGTTGAGGGAAATGTGCAGCTAAGCAGAGGAAAAGTGGGGGCAAGGTGCAAAGAAACCATAAAAGAAGAAACCCTGTATGGCTACAATCAATAGATGAAAGGAGGGAGAAAGGGCAAGGAGCAAGACTCTACTTGCGAACCTGGTCAACAATGCAGGACTTTAAATGCAAAGGCACTTCATCCTACCACCTCAATGTGGCTTTCCTATATTCTTCTATTTTCATGAATTTTGTCCTTTAGTTTTAATAGAATATTTCAATTTTTTAAGTTACCAATTGAATACGAATAAATTTAGTTTTCTTTCACTTTTCATATGTTAGAGATATGACTTGGGTTACTGTACAATTTTTTGAAGAAAATCATTTTTGATGATGACAAATTCCACATCTTGGTTAGAGTCCTTCACTGTGAAGATATGTTTGACTGGTTTTGAAGGGGATCCTAGCATTTTCAGCTATTTGAAAGGCACAGACCTTATGACAAGTGGGTACATTCTGCTTTATAAACATGCTTTGGCAACTGGTTGGCAGGTGGGGACCCAGCTCCGGGCAGTGTCATCTGGAACCACAGGCCAACCAAGAATCAGGTTTTGCAGCCCACAGCCAAGGCTTGCACTTTCAAGAGGTAAGTCTCTGAAGGCACTTGCTTCTAATAGACACCTGTTACATCAAAATTAAAATAATATGGATATGGGAGCAAACTTCAGCATCAATGGGAAAAAAAAAAAAAAAAACCTCCTACAGAACACTCACAGCTTCTTCCTCAGCACCTGCTGCCCCCCGCCCCCAGATCTCTTAACTTTGTGGAAAGAATGGTGCTTCTTGAATCCACTAGAGCAGTCACGTGCACTGAAGAAAGCACTTCTGCAGAATTTTGGCCCTTTTAAGTTTTTTTGTACATTGCTCAGGTTTTTTCATTAACTCATGAAAAAGCTTGCCTTTGATCAACTTAAAATATTAGCAAAGGGGGGTACCACATATGAACCATGATGCTTTCATGTTATACCGACACTGTCCCCCTATTTGCCTACTTTACAAGGTTGTTAAAGGATTTTTAGAAGACACCTAAAGTGCTTTGAACAGCCCCTGGCTCGTGATGAGTGTTCAGCAGCTGTTGTCTCCTATTATTAAATTGGGATCCTCTCTTATTTACAGTGTTTAAAATGAAGCCTTCCGAGCCTTGTCAGGTTACGAGAGATTTCCCAGGCCTTGGAAGGGGGACTGGAACGACAAGGAAGGGCTAGCTGCTGGGTGATGCTGGGTAATGCTGAAGGGAGACCGAACTGAAGGGAGACAGTTACGGATGAGTCTCATTAGGGGAGCCTGATGCAGACTGAGCTGTGGGGGAGCTGGGACAAAGAGCCTGGAGCCATGACAGCCCTTGTCATGTCTGGTTAGTTAGTTACAGATTATAGGATTGGCAATTTTTCATGCAACTGCTTAATCTCTATCCTGGAGGTATCACTTTTAGATGATTTTTCTCCTCTTGATTGACACAAAGGGTTCCATGCAGACCCAAAACACACCACTGTCATCTTAATTAACTTAATACTTTGTTCCCTGGGAAGGTGGTTGCTTACTCCAGCAATTCTTTTGTCCTCTTTGGCATTTTGGTGAAGTTCTTACAGTTCAAAATTTGTAAATAGTCATGCACTGTCATATAATATATTTACCCTTTGAAGGCTTGATGGGAATTTCTCTTCTCAGGTCCTCCATGGAATACTGGATCCCATTATGACCCCCAAAGAAGGGAGACGTGAAGAATATTGATGTTTCTCAGGTTCAGCCACACTAATTTAGTTCTTGGAGTTTATCTGCAAGTCTTTCACAGAAATGAGATATTCTAACATAGATAGATGACTATCAAATGAGTTCCTGAATATCCACCAGGAAAAAGATGGTTTACCAAAGGAAAGGTGTATTTGTTGTGGAGTATTATGCATCTATTAGAAAGGATGAGTTAGGTCTTTATCTATTCATTTGGAGGGGTGTTCAAGATAGGTTTTTTTTCTTTTAAAGCAGGTTTCAAGACAGTGTTTATAAT